CTACTTCTCTCCTTCCCTGCCTGCCTTTTTTTTTTTTTTTTTTTTTTTTTGTATGCTAAATCTTAATTATGCAATTAATAGGAATGTATTTAACTCTAAAATTCTTCTATCCCAAGTATTAGTTTCTGACGTACATTAACAAATTTAATTTAAAAGCAATAATTGATTTTCTAATACTTTACATATTTTCTATATCACTCATAGAAAATAATCGTTTTTTAAAATGTATTTGTTACATGTACCATTTTGCAAGGTTTTTCTTTTTTAATTCAACATTATGTCATGCCTTGTAGCCAGGTACATACAGACTACCTTATTCTTTTTATTTGCTATGTCATATTCCACAGCATGTTAATTCCATGGCTTGCTTAGTAACCCACTATTGATGAATCCAAGGGGTGTTTACAGATTTTTTGTATTACAAACAATGCTACAATAAATACTTCTGTACGTATCCATGACTCAGATTTGAGTCTTTCTCAGAGGAAAGGAGAAGTAGATTGGTAGGCATGTGATTTCAGAGTGGCAGTAATTTTACATATCCAACAACATGTGGAAGTCTCCAATTTCCCCAGGGCCTAACACTTGCTGTTACGAGATTGACATTTTTTTCAGGCTGATGGGTAAGAAATGATCTTTTAATTATGAGTGAGTTTGAGCATCTTTTGCATGTCCTGATGTGTTTGCATTTCACATTTCTAGTATGTTTATTTGAGACAGGGTCTCGTTTATCTGTTCATGTTTTGGGGGGGATTTATTTCGGGTTTATTTGGCTTTTTCTTACTGATCCATAGAAATTCCTTATGTGTTTTTTGTATATTCTTGATACCAGTGTCTTCGATTATATATGTTATAAGTCTTTTTCATTTAGATCTTTCTGATCCTGGTTTTGTCATTGACCATCTCTCATTTTGGGGCCATTGTTTGTCTTCCACAGTGCCATTTTTGTCTATTGTGAAGTGAGAATACACTACCTTTCAGTTATTGTGTTATTGTGAAATGCCAGTGAAAGAGTATAAGCTCTCTGATTTTTTGATTCATTTGATTTTCACCAGCCATTTTTCTCAGCTGTAAAGTGAGAATACACTGCTTTTTAGGGTTATTGTGAAATGCCAATGAAAGAGCATAAGAAAGTGCTTTGGAGACTAAAGAATACCTTCACATGTACACCGTTGTGTCCTTTCTTTGGTTTTATTATGATTCATTCCTAGAAACTGGCTTTTGTGAAGCATCCTAGGCTTCTACAGATTAATCAAATTCTGAGTGGTGGGTGTCACAATGTAGCACTTGTCTCTTTTTATTCTACACCTTCTTAGGGGAGGAACAAGGTATGTAAACAAGATATGCTCCCATTGAACTCCTGTGTTCTTGGAATGCATTGGGTGGGATGGAGGTAGAGAAGTACGGATAGCAGGAGAATCCTGCTAATTTGCTAGTCATGGTGTGCGCCACAAGGATTGATAATCATTTTTACTATGGAACCGAATGTCTGTAAGGTTAGAATTGGCTGGCCTTTTGTTATTGTCCTGGTTCATTTCTCAATTAGAACTCAGAATTCAGAGGCAGCTCTTCTGTTCCACTAGCTGTTCTGTTCACTAGTTCCCTAACAAGGGAACATATGAGGGTATAATCTTTTGTCTGGCTATCTTTTGACTATTGGCTGTCCTCAACAACCAACCAAAACATGGTACTATTCTATGGTTTGGGGATACTCAGACTCAGATACCACCACCCTTAAACGCAAACAACCCCATGCACTAGACCTGTCTCCCATCCTTTTTTTTTTTTTTTTTTTGAGATGGAGTCTTGCTCTGTCACCCAGTCTGGAGGGCAGCAGCACGTTCTTGGCTCACTGCAGCCTCTGCCTCCTGGGCTCAAGTGATTCTCCTGCCTCAGTAATTGGGCTATGTCCCATGCTTTTGAAGACGCCTCCTGTAACCATGACTGTGCACGTCCATACCACTCTTCAAGTACCTAGCTACCTAAGAATTACCTGGTAAAATGGCCTGAGCTTGCTTGCAGGGCGGGCAGAGCCTCTTCCTGAGCCCATCTGCCTGAAGATGGACCAGCCTCTGACACGTGTATCCCTAGGTCCCACATATGTATCAGGGGTGACCAAGAGGGGTACTCTCAGCTTGGACATGCTAGCTTGAACACCTGTGCATAAGGCTCCATGGGGTGCAGGAAGGGACTGGAATGTGGGGAAAGTGGTGGGAGTGGATTGGGGCCAGAGTCCTTCATTTGGACTCTTGCCCCAGCTCCGCAGCTGTCAGGGTCAGGTCTGCCCAGAGGAGCCTCTTCCTTCTGACCAGCTGCTTATTTTATGGTTTTTAAAAAAGCCTTTGGGAAAGGTTTTCTTCACCACTCATTTAGAGACTGAGTATGGCAGGCTCACCGTAGAGCCCAGTTAATCTTTGTGAATAATTCACAGAGAGTGAGTTGGGGAGATGGAACAGGTGAGTTTCCTTAAGGGAGGCTCTTTTAGGGTTGCTCTCCTCTGTCTTTTCCCTGGTTAGGCGATGCTGCTGGTGCTTTGTAAAAAGGAGGAAGGAATCTGTTGACACACTGAATTTTTATGAAAGGAGACTAGGGTTCCCTTATGCGTTTACACGAGGCACATCTGCCTGCAGACAGGCTGTCTGCTGCTTAGGCATTCCTTCGTTGTCGTTTTATTCTTTTCTGAAGGTTTTAAGGCACAATTTGTGCATTCCTTTCTGTTCTCTAGAGCCGGGGTAAAGTCATAATATATCAGGGCTCTTGCCGAAGAGCTTAAAATGGGCGCTGGCAGCTGGGATGTGGGGAAAGAGAGCTTTCCAGGGACAAGTGACCTGCTTGTTCAGCCAATGAGAAGCAGGTTAGAGGAATGATATCACCAGACAGCCTTTATTGTCTGATCATCTTGTAAAAGCAGGATTGTGTCTGGCAACTTAACCCTTTTTTAGGCACTTCAGGTCTCATCCGCTCCGTGGTATGTGACTTCTAGGTTCCTTTCCTAAACTGTCTGCTGTGAGACTACAGAGATTAAAGACTAAAATTAGTGGAGGAATTAGGCAAGTTGTAAACCATCATTTTAAAAAATAGAACTTATTAAAATTTAGAACCACTGCTAAAATGGAAATGTGATCTAAGCTGTGTTTGGAGAGCACATTTAAAGTAGATATTGGTCATAGGCATGTTATGTCTGAGTTTTCTTTTAATATCTTATAATTTATATAATGGAATCTTATTTGGTATTTCCTATTTCGGAGGAATTGAAATTAGTTCTGTAAATTTGGAAGGTTATCACTGATCCAGAGGCCAATTTTGAGAAAGAGCTATTTGCAGTATCTGTTTATTCTTGTGCTTCTTTATTGTCCCTTCCCCTATACAAATGATAGTGATTTTACCTCTTCTTGCATCCTTTCCCTCATTGGTAACATGAATGGTCCTGCCTATCTCATAGAGTAGTTGAGATAAGAAAATAAATGAATTTCTGTGATTTTAGATTGTCCTATATACAGTGTAATGTATTATTATTAGGGCATTCATGTCTTAAGGTTATATGTTCATTCATTGATTTGTTCAGACTTTTTATAACTTCTAGATGCTGGGCATAAGAGATACAGAGATATAAAACATATGCTTCTTACCCTTAAGGAACTGAAAACATCATGAGGGAGGCAATAATAAAACTGTTTCATACTTCCTTTTGTATCTACCATGTTCTAGGCTTTGTTCTGAGCACCTTGGCATACCTTAACTAATTTAATTTTACTATAGTCCTGTGAAATAGATACTGTTATTAGTTCCATTTTACAGATAAAGAAATTGAGTCATCAAGAGGCTAAGTAATTTGCCTAAGGTCACACAGTTAGTGTGTGACTAATGACACTAGGGCCATTAGTACTCAGAACCGATACTGACCAATATAGTAGTCACTAGTCACATGTGGCTTTGGAGCACTTGTAATGTGGCTGGTTTAAGTTGATTGGGCTGTAATTGTGAAATATTAGATTCAGTGACCTAGCATGAAAAAAAAATCTCATGTTGAAATTACATGTTGTAATGATATTTTGAATATACTAAGTAAAATATGTCAAAATCAATTTTACTTTTTAATTGTGGCTACTATAAAATTATATACATATGCTTGCATTTGGGGCTCACATTAGTCTTTTACTTTACTGCACTACTCTAAATCATTATACTGTAAGAATAGTAATAGCATGTGAGATTTTTGAGCACTCACTGTGTGCCACATACTGTGCTAATACCTTTTATAACATTGTTTTAATTAGGCCCAAAATAGCCTAGTTTATTATCCCTATTTTATAGAAGGAAGAGAAGGTTTTGAGAAATTTAGTAATTTGCCTGAGATTAATTAACTAGTTAATGGCAAATCCAAAATTGGAACTATATATGTCTGACTCAAAAACCTGTCAGTTTTGTGGGATTTTGGTCTTGAACTCCTGGCCTCAAGCAGTGTTCCTGCCTCAACCTGCTGAGTAGCTGAAATTACAGGTGCAAGCTAGAATACCCAGTTAAAAAACCTGTGTTCTTAATTACTGCACTGCAGTTCCATTCATAATTAAATTTCAGTCTGTTTTTTTGTTTTAATTTTTATGAGTATATTTAATATTGCATACGTCTATAGTCTGATGCATAAAGGTTCAAAATAAAAATTACTAATCTATACAATAGACATCTTGTATGGAACTGTTTGACGGAGCCTCAGTGAACACTGGCACAGTTGAGCCTGAGATGAAGCAGTGAGTCAACATATACAAATTGTATTTAATTTTTATGCCATATAGTTCTTCCAGTCACTGGGCAATTTGTGTCCTGACTCTCTTTGTCCATAGAGAAGGGGAAGAGGGGAAATGCACCTCTCCTTAGTTGTTTAGCTCTCTTGGCTGACAAGAAAAAAATTGCTTTCTATTTCATTGTCCTCTGAAATGCTGTTTGTGTTTGAGAGAGTAACAAAATACTGTCTGGTGACCCCTCACTTTTCTTTCTTCTAGAGCAAAGACTCAGGTGGACTGAAGGCAGCTATGATCGAATTGGTGGAAAGGTTGAAGTTCAAGAGCTCAGACCCTAAAGTAAGTATTGTTTTGGAATTGATTGGGTGTTGACACCCCAAGCATTTTATTCTCCCTGAGCTAAATTTGTGGGGCATTAATGATCATCTTTCTGAACACTGCATTAAGATTTAATTAAGCCTGTCCATCAGAAACAGTGTCCTAATATGCCTAAAGATAAGTTATCTATTTTTCCCCTTCTTTATTTTATGACTTATGACACATAATCATTAATTGTTTTCCCTGAACTGCAGACAAGTGCATTTTTAATCTTCCTTTACCAGGGTTCTTTGAGACTTTGGTCCTCTGTGTCCATTAAATGCAGCCAAAGGCATCTGAGAGAAATACTGATCATCTTAATGCCAGGGACTGGAATAGGATCCGGACTTATCTAGTTGGGTTCAGCACTAGCGTCTTATCTCTCCACTGCTTCCAGGAGCCAGCTGCCACTCAGAATACTTTTTTCCTCATGATCTGGAGTCTGGTTTGGGAACTGGTTTCAGTGTACCAGCCATTTTTTTTTTTTTTTTTTTTTAATATGTTAGGGTCTAGAAGGTTGATATTCTGGGAGACACGATAACGGGGTGGAAGTAAACTGGGAACTGAACATGCTGGAGGGACTGTGACTAACACAGACTCCCTTCTCCTTCCTACCCAGACACTTATTGTGGCACTACCTCGTATTGGGGCCAGCAGGCTTTGCCTTAGAATCAGAGTTTTTCACAAATAGGGAAAGGAGCATGATTTTATTTTATTTTACTGTAGGTCCTTTATTTTTTCTTTTCTTTTTTTTAAGAGGAATGGGACTAGCATTTCTTGAGTATCTACTGAGATCCAGGCACTTTGCTAGGACTCTTACGTAATTGTACTAAAATATATATAAAAAATTACAGTTCAATGGCATTGAGTACATTCACTTTGGCTTTTTTGTTTGTTTGTTTTTTGTTTTTTTGAGACAGAGTCTCACTCTTTTGCCTAGGCTGGAGTGCAGTGGCATGATCTCAGCTCACTGCATCCTCCACCTCCCATGTTCAAGCCATTCTCCTGCCGTAGCCTCCTGAGTGGCTGGGATTCCAGGCACATACACCACACCCGGCTGTTTTTGTATTTTTAGTAGAGACAGGGTTTCGCTATGTTGGCCAGGCTAGTCTTGTACTCTTGACCTCAAGTGATCTGCCTGCTTCAGTCTTCCAAAGAGCTGGGATTATGAGCATGAGCCACCGTGGCTGGCCACACTTTGTTGTACAACCATCACCACTGTCCACCTCCAGAACTTTTTATTATCCTTAACTGAAATTCTGTACCCATTAAATGCCAAATTCTCATTCCCGCTCTCCCCTTAAATACCTTAATTATTTTGACAACACTGTAAAGTAGCATTTATTCCTAATTTATTGATAAGAACCCTGAGACTTAGAGAGGTAGACTCATCTGCCCAATACTAATATAATATAGAGGTGAAATTCAAACTCTGACTCCAGTGCCTGTACTCTTTATTTTATGTCGTGCTGCAAACCAAGCACTGGAGTTTATCTCCTTTTTGCCACAGAATCACATTGTGCTGCAGTTTTCTAAACTGAAACACAATGCGTGGCAGGGCCACAGACAGTGGTAAAGTCTTCAAAAGCTAGCTGCAGCCACAAAAATAAATTTCATATGGTGATGAAAATATTGGGGACATGAGTAAGATCTCTTGTCTTCTGGTGTAGTTAGGGTTCCAGAAGTAGAGTGTATCTTGGTAGATAGAAAAAATTGGGGTAACCTTTATCATCTTTCATAGCTCAAAGTAGGAGGACCCTTGATAAAAGTATTTCCTTTAGTTAGAATGAACCACTTATTAAAAGTTACTGAAAGCTTTTCTTACCAAGTTTCTCTGGTTTCTGGGGCAACTCCTGTTCTGCGGGAGACAACCGTATTCTGTTTCTGCCAAATTTATAATTAGCAGGGTAGTGAAGAGGGAGAGGATGCATACAAATCACACTGCGTGTTCTCTGTGTATGCCAATAATACAGGTAAAGTATTTTGGGAGCCTTTATGAATGCATATAGTGCTTCTGATGGAAAGCTTGCCAGAAGTGAAAGGATTGAGTAGTTGTATGAGAGGAATCCCTGGAAATGTCAGGGTTTTCCCTTGATGCATCATAAGGTAAAGGATATTTGTAAGGACCTGACTTGATCTTGGGTATATGTGTATACCTGCATCTCTCTTTCACCTATTCTTTCTTTTGCCGTGGGTCATTTACTACCAACCTATTTTATTTTCAAGCCTCTTCTTAGTCTACCACAAACATATGCTATATATACTTGGAGCCAGTTTGAAGAAGGATGAACCTAATTGTAGAATGACTGCCCTGTCAGCAATGGGGGTAAAAAATTGGTCACTTAAATATATAATTTCTGCAACAAAGAAGATTTTCCTAGAAATAAATTGGCATCTTCCAAGACAGCCAAAGTTTTCTGGCTTTTCTGTTTTCCCACAGAGCCCTACCATGCCCTTTTTGAGTTGGCCTATTTAACAAGGGCAAAAATCTCTTAGGCTTTGTGACATTTGTCATTTCCTGGTGCAGAGGCTTTACATAGAAGCACTGATTGAGTCATGGAGGACTGAGCACTATCTCTGCCTCACTTCCTCTAGAATTCTCTAAAGTATCACGAAGCTTGATTAGTCCAGACACTGAAGCCTACTGGGGAATGAGTTAATTTTTACCTCTGAGTTTTGCTAGGGATCAGTAGAAGATGCCTGGATTAATCATTTTTTTAAAATTATAAAATAATACATGTTTATAGATTTAAAAATATAGATATTCATAAAGAAAAAGTAGAATAAATCTCCCCCAAGTTAGCCACTGTTAACAATTTAGTATGTAACCTTCTAGACATTTTTCCTTGTAGAAATACATTTTCAAAATTTTTTTACAGAATTATACCTGTGGGTTTACAATTGCTTTTTCCTTTATGTAGAATATCCTAGATATTCTTCTCTGTCAATAATATAGACTTGATTCTTTTTAATGAGATGCCTCATTTTATCCAAAGCATTTGTCAGACATCTTTTCTTTCAGACCCAGAGGTCCTTAAACTTTAATGTACATGAAAATTGCCCAGAATATGTATTAAAATACAGAGTGCTGGGCTACCTCCAGAGTTTTTGATTCAGTTGGCCTGGGGTAACTAGAGAATTTTCATTTCTATCAAATTATCAAGTGATGCTGATGTTGCTAGTTCAGGTACCACGCTTTGAGAACCTCTGTACTATACCTTAGCTATTTTCCTCCGTGCTTGTTAATGATTTTTTTTTTCTCCTTTGAACAAATAGAAGAGCCCCTAGAAATAAGTCCAGGTGATTTCAACTTTGAAAAAAAAAAGTAGACAAAAATCTAGGCTTGTGAAACAAACAAGTTGAGCAGAGGTAGCAAAGGAATAGGGAGGGAAAAAAGAGGTGGTTTGGGAAGTCAGCTGAGGCTAAAAGGACAGGACTGCTTACACTGTCACTTCCAACAATAGCAAAGCCAAAAGGAGGGAAATGGGTTTTGATCAGGATTTAGGAGGATGGTCAAAGCTCCCTGCCATTGTTGAGGTGTAAGCTGAGTTCTAAAACCAGAGGAAAATCAGGAACAACCAGCCATTGTGAGTGAGCCTGAGAAGAATCAGAGCTAGTGATGGTTCAGAAATAGGGCACAGGACCAAACAGTTTTTGCGCATGGATGTTGCTGCGTCGAACCCTGTTTTAAAGAATGCATACTTCTTGGCACCTAGAACCGTTTATATCATGGAAGAAGATTACTTTTAATAACAAATAATCTTCAGTTTGTCAAAAGGATTAATAGGAAGTGGTTTTTTACATAAGTTGTCCTAATGTGTTTGACTTGATTCAGTTTGCAAACATTTTTTTTCTCCAGCCATACTTTGCTGAAACACCTATTGCACAAACAGGATTTTTATCTGTAAATTGCTTACATTTATGCTAGGCTTTAGGGAGATTTTAAAATGTAATCAGTCAGGTGTGTGTGTATATATATGTGTCTATACTTGGATTTTTAAGAAATTTAAAGCTTTCTTAGTTCTTTTTCTTCACAACTTTCCTTTGTAGTGACTATTCAGCTATCTTTCATAGTTTACTCAGAGGTAACCTAGGCTTAGAAAACACATTGATTCCCTTTCCTTCCGTCCCCTGCCCAGTCCTCAGAAAGCACTGAACCAAAAGTACAACATGCTAAGCCCAATCAAACTAACCTCTTATTATACAGTTAATAACAGCCACTTTCTCTCTATTGTGTATTGATTGCTTTTCTTTCCCTGTGATATGCACTGTTCATTGTTTCCTATAACTGGTGTGCTTGAAGTAAACAGTTAACAACACAGTTGTGTGTCTTGATTTCATACTAATCTTATATTCTCAAAAAGGAAGCATCTTAAAACTTGGGCCAAGTGGCTCACATTATTCTGTGACTGGAATGGGATTAAACATAGGATCTGATCATACCCAAGACTTCCTAAAACAGCAGGGTTTTTTTTCCTTTTGTTTCCTCTATCCTCTAGAGGTATTCTTACTGAAGTGTGAAACCAAAAAATTATCTAACAACATGAAATTAGTTAAATAAATCCAAGAATGGTTTTCTTTTTTTATTTCAGCATTTATGTAGCATTTTATAATTGCAAAATAACTTTGCAATCATTTTTCATAGCTGATATAATTGGCATGAAACACAGCCCAGTTCTTCACTCTTCCATGATAATCAGATTCTTGTCAAAAAATATAAATTTCAAATATACAGGTAGTGATGAATATAAGCAAAACCTAATTTGAAATTCTTGTTATTGTGTCCTATTATTCACAAAGATCAAGCCAGGCATCATCTTAATCCTTGCCCCATGCCAAAAAAGAAGTATTCCCTGGGGCACTGTTTATCCAACCAGCCAAAGCAGAGGATTGAGATGCCTCAGCTATCAAGTTGTTACATACAGGAGTGTTCCTTTGGTTGATGAGTTATTAGAATTATTGACCTATTTCTGTACTTGTAA